AGTTTGTTGTAAATGATGATAAACAAGTTCATATATTACTTTAATGGAAAATAATTTTTTTAAGTTTACATTCAATAAGTAATAGTGAAATATGTGTTGGTCACTCTATTTCTAACGTGATCTCTAAGAGTGTATTTAGTTTTCAAAGTAGGATTTTGGATGATTTTAAATGCTTACTAAATCCATCAACCGTTGAGACATTTATTTATATTCAAAATTTGTTGAAAAATACAATAATTGAATTTTATAATCTAAATATTAAAAAAGAGTTTGAACTTTGGGAAAAGATTATTATTACAAATACGAAGAGTTTGTAACTTTTTTTTATGATTGATTTTACTATATGTTAATAATATTTGTATTTAATAAATTTTAAAATTTTAAGGTTATTAAATACGAGGAAAGCATAAAGAGAAGTTAGATCTTTTAGTGTAACTAATCTGTCATCTTAATGATAAATCATCTAAGTATGTTATTTTACTTTTTTTAATAATAATAATAATAGTTATTATTATTATTATTATTATTATTATTATTATTATTATTATTATATTTAGTTACAAGATTACAATTTGAATAGGTTGTAATTGAATTTGTTGAGTGTTGTAAACTTTGTTTTTTTGTCTTTTTGAAGTTATTTACAAATGCTAAGATCATAACTCATTATTTTTTGGAATCTATCTCCATCAATTATTATTAGTTTTTTTTTTTTTAATCCTATATATAACTTCTAAAAAATATGCAAAACCTGCAAGCATCAAGAGTAATGATCACTATGGACAACTCTTCATAATGATTAGCATATCTTAAAATAAATTATTAATAATTTTTTTATTATCTTATTTATGATGGTTTCTAATTGTACAAATTTGTATTGAACATATCAATATTATCAACGTGGATAATGAAAAATATGGGCAACTTAAAAATCATTTATGAAAATATATTGGATATATAGACGTATCACAAATCTCTCTTTATATATAAAATATTTTAATAATTACCTTCTTAAATAATTTTAAGAATTTTTCTCTAATATTTAAAGTCTTAAAACTACATTCAACATTGTTCTTCTTTCTTTGGCTTTAAGAATTTTCTTCTTATAATTTCCCACAATAATTACAAACTATAGTATTCAAATTTAATTGTATTCTTCACAATATTTTTAATCGGACACTCTTATTTAAGATAATGAATTGATTTATTTACTTGCCATAGAAAAAATGGTTCATTGCTGTACAAAAGGGTTGCTCAACAATCTTTCCTTCAAGTGTGATTCCTACATCCCCTTTCAAGGAGAAGTTTTAGTAGTGTGATTCTCACGAATGAAACCCGAATTAATCATACAAGAGAATATGACACCACTTTCCGTAACCGTGAGTCTCAACATAGTCCCACATTATGGAGCCTGAAGTTATACCACTCGAGTCTGCGGTCATATAAGTGTTACCAAACATAAGGTAGAAACATCTTTTTCAACTCATATATATACTTATCAGTATATTCTACCCTTAATGACTTGAGTGTTGGAGTGTTTCCTTACAGGTTTCCCCCTCCCTTTCCCGAAGTTTAGAACCAAATACCGAGTATAAAAATGTGGTATATCATAGAAAGAAGAGAATTACACAAGTAAGTAGTAGATTGAGTTGGTGTTCAATCTTGTAAAATCAGATTATATTATATAACCTAACATTTTATTATTATTATTGGATCTTGTAATCCTAAAAAATAAATAAATAAAATATTAAGTTAGTCTCAAGACTAATAAGACTTCTTCCTCTCTTTTCAATATGCGACACCAAATATGCGACACCAGATAATAAAAGTGAAATTTCCATCATGATAAGACGATGTTATTTCGTAATGGATAAATTAACTGTTATAATTTTTCATATAAAATTTGATTCATCACCGTTTTGTGGTGACGATAAGTAAGAGTTTCCACTGCAATAAATATTTAATAATATTAAATAACATTAGGCCATATAAATTTTTTATCTTCCTCTTTTCTAATTATTATGAATTTGAATTATAATTGCACTTTCCTTTTATTCAACCCATTTATTGAAAATAGTCTAATTTCATTATCACCTTGATTGCATAACCAGACAAATAAATTTGTTTTGAATTATCTCCATTCATATCTCTTGATAACTTTTAATTATACCAATATTATATGTTTTTCGGTGATTCGTGTTATTAATCAATTAGTGTGACCTTATGTTAATTCAGATTGTTGAGATAAAAATTCTTTGTTTTCTTATACATTGAAATATTTGATATAGATATTTAATTTGATTGGATATTATCTTCTTTTGTTAATAATTTATAATCTATAATAATCTTGTTAGTATTTTATATTAACAAAAACAAAGCATATCTTCTATTTTTTATACAAGACCGTCTTATTGGCAGATCCTTAGAGAACAATCAACCGTGAAAGACATCGAAGTTTTACAAGACTTTTTTATGAAAAATTTGTATTTAACCATACTTCATGTTATGGTAATTTATAAAATTATTTTTATTATAGATTAGATGAGTTTTAGAATATGTATAAGATTAGATGTTATATCTCTTTTGTTAGTATCACTTGATTCTTTATTAAGTTTTTTTTTTAAAGAAATTTTTTTAGAACAATCCGTTACCATTTGTTTTAAGCGCGAATTTACCTAAAAAGTGAGAAAGACAAAATTTGCATTAAAAAAATGCTTCATCTTTTTCTCATCATATAAGATATTGAATTCTAAGATATTGGATTAAATTGATTAAAATAATAATTATATTTTAAATATTTTAAAAAAATTTAACGTTTTTAATTAAAATAATAAATAATTAAACAATATATTAAAAATAAATATTTTTATTTTAGTTTTAATTGTATTTTTTACTTAGTAATTTTTTAAATCCTTTTATATTTTCTTAATTAAGTAATGTTTCTTAATTCAGTTTACTAAAAATAATAATATTTATAACAATTAAAATAATAGTTATAACTATAAAAATAATTATTTTAATAATAAATTTAAGAATAATAATTTTTTTCATCTTACTAATTTAAATAAATATAATTTAAATATTTACAATACATTAAATTCTATAAATAAAAATTATTATAATTAATACCATGGATAATTTTGTAATCTTTTAATTTTTTTTATTAAAACATTTTATTATTATTTACATCAATCAAATCACTCAAACTTTTATCTTATTTCTCTATATTTCCAATCATATTTCCTTTAATTTAAACAATCTCACTTTAGCCTCTCATTTTTTTCTCAAATTCATCCATTTCCACTCCCTCAAATCTATCTTTGATCCAAACACAACATTAGAGTTTGTAAATATATTAAATTGTTATATTTTATAACTTTATATAAATTTAATCTTCGTATATAGTATGAATTATTTATTTTAATTTAATAATAGTCATAAATTTATAATATATTATAAAAATAATTATTAAAATCCCATAAGTAAGAATTCAAACTCAATATTTAGACAAAAAAACCAAACTAAATAAATAAAGATAAAATTTAACTTTTTAAAAATAAAAAATAAAAAAACTGACTAGTTTAAATTTAATATTAATAACCTATTAAAATTAACCCGTAATCCACATAATTTATATTCCATTCACTCGATATATTAAATGGTCAAATATAAATTTTAAAATATAAAATTCGATTTGGACTGAACGTGAAATTAAACTCAAACGCGACTAATATCAAAGAGATTTAGTTCGATTGGTTTTAATGATAAGTCAAATTTTTTTACATAAATAATTATAATTATTTTATATAAATATTTTTCATTTACTTTAAGTAGTTTTAGATATAATATCTATATTAAATTATTTTTTTATTGATAAAATCTCTTGTAAGAAATTCTGGTGAAAAATGGTTTAATTTGGATGCTCTAAATTTTGGTTGGATACGAAAATTAGGAAAGGTTATTAAATTGGATAGTAAATGATCAAGTATATGTTTATTAATTGATTAACAGTTCATATATTTTCGTGTGAAAAACTTTTGTACGAAATAATTGCTCTTAAATACAGGTATCATAATGCATAATTATGAAATATCCCATTAGAGTCTATGACATATTTGGATAGGGATAATTAGAGACTTACACATAATTAAATTCTTTGAATCAATTCACCACATTAAAAAATTATCATGCTATTATCTAATTAAATTATTATTATTTTTAATCAAAATAGCATAATCCCACCAATGACTACCACTAATTAAAAGTGAACAAAAATTTAAATCATAATTATAGAGCTCTAGTATAAGAATATGACTTTGAAATAGTTTCAATTCCAAAATAATTTGAATTAAAATTATAATTTTTCTTTTTTTATTTGGTTATATTTTTTACACTTTACACTGGGTTGGGTCATTAGGATGAAATCTTCAACAAAATTGTTATTTACTCTTCTTGTTAAAAATAATTTAAGTTTGCGAATTCCACCTTGCGTTTGTGTTCAGTCTCAGTCCAAGTCCATACAAGTTGTTATACACTTTGCCGACAAACGAGGAACTGTCATGGAAGAAAATAAATGAAAGATAATTTGCAATTTTCCTTTCTGAGGACAGAACAGAAATATAGCAAAGGTGAAGGACTCAACAAGAAACCAAAACTCCCGTTCCCATACAGAAGATGGATAAATGAAAACTTTGATAGAAATTTTTTTTTGTTTGAGGGTGTAAGATTTTGATTTAAGTTCAGTCGTTTTGAGGAGTGTAAGATTTTGCATTTCTCTTATGTGTGGTCTACACTTATCTCTCCATTTCCGTTCATTAATAACAACCTCACAAAACACGAAACACGAAGCACAAAACAAAAAACACAAAACACACTCTCCCATTCTCATGAAACCCCTTCGTTTCACTTTGTACATGTTGTCTCTTGCACACTACTTTCCCTTCACTCACTCCACTACACATAATTAAAGAGACCAACCAACCCCACACGCTTACACGCACGCCATGTTGAACGATCCATTAATCATTGCTTCAACGAGCCAGGGATCAGAGGCTCATGAAGAAGAAGATGAACACATAAGAGAAATCCACGCCTTAACCCCACCTCGCCCTCCCCCTCCACGTGGCAGACCCTGGGACACCCTTCACACTCACAGGTCAAGCTCTCTCTCCGTCGCCAGCACCGACGGTGGCACCTCCTCCTCCGACAACTTCACCACCATGAGCAGAGAGTTCAGCGCCTTGGTTCTCGCGGGCTCCACCATCGACCCCGACAACAACCACAGCATCACTCCCATCAATGAAAACAACGTGAACAACAACCTGGGGAGGATCAGAGAAGAGGAGTTGATGGAAGAGACGAACCCTTTGGCGATCGTGCCGGATAACCACCCTCTGGACCCGGTTCCCTCGTCGTCTGTAATGGGTGCTAGTGGTGGTGCGCGTGAAGAGCACGTGTCTGTGCAGAGGGTGAAGAAGGAGGAGGTGGATGCGAAGATATCAGCGTGGCAGAACGCGAAGGTTGCGAAGATTAACAACAGGTTCAAGAGAGAAGACGCTGTCATCAATGGGTGGGAGAGCGAGCAGGTACAGAAAGCTTCCTCGTGGATGAAGAAAGTTGAGGTAGCTTTTTTTTTCTTTTCTCACGGTGTTACTTACTTGCATGTCCATCTTCTTGGTCGTTTATTTTATTGTTTATTTTATTATTTATTTTGTGTGTGTGTCTTGTGGTTATTCTTAGTGGTTGATTTTGATCGGATTTCTTTGAGGTTATGATTATCAGTACTCCTGAGACTGAAACAGAACAGGCTTGGATTGATCGATCATGATCCAATCAGTACATCACCAAGATAACTTTGAAATTAAGAGGAGAATTGAATAGGGAGTAATTGCTGCCATGATTGATGATTGCCTTATTATTATTATTCCTTGATTTATATGTATAGAAGAAAAGTTGTGGAATTATTTTCCCTTGGTTGTTGAGGAACCACAAAAGGAGGGAAAGAAAGGTAGTAATAAATGCATAAGTAAGACTAGATTCAATGATATTATGATCCTTCTTTCTTTAATTATCTTTCCTTATTCTTTTTTTGTTTTACCCCAGAGTAATTATAAACATACATCTCATTACTTATCTCCACTCTGATGCATATTTACCACCTCAGCAATTCATTTTTAAAACTAAAGTAAAAAACTTTAATTATTGTTAACAAAACTTAAAATACTCTTATGCATTAGCTCTTCGTTTAATATTCAAGGTTTTTTTTTTTGGTATGGATGACTAAACTTGGTTTACTTAAGGTATGATGAGATTTTTTTTCACAATATTTATTATATTCTATTTTTAAAATTGATATATGTTAGTTTTTTTTTTATTAATGTAGAAATGTGAATCCATAATCTATCTCTCCATATCCTTGATCCAGCCAAATGGGATAGCATTTACATTTTTGTTCAAACAATAGTGTCAACCTTGGCAGGTACATTTTGTATCTTGGTCGTATGAATGGTTTTTTCCCATGCATTCCCAAGACTTTGTTCACATACAGTACCACAGGTTCAATGTCCAAATCATGACAGGAGGAAAATGATTTGAAGATATCACGGGAAATATGAGTCTTTGGAAAGTTGATTTTGCGACTGATAAGTTCTGTCTTCAACATTCAACCTCACGTTTTTTTTTTTCACCTTTTCTCTTTTTCTTGTATTGGTAATTTTAAGCTAAAACATCATCCACCTGCTGTCAATTTCCATGATGGCACATTCTTTTGGCAGTGACGTGAAAAGTGGTTCCTATGGTCTGCATTAATTGCCTTACTATTGAAGCTAGCTACTTTTTCATTGACAGCAGAAAAATGTGGAAATGTGTTACCCACCAGCAAGTACCCAATTTGTCCAATTAATTGATTTCATGTTAATTTTAACCAACACAACGTTGTGTCAATGAAACAAAAAGTTGACTAAACCAGATTTGGTTCTGTGCATAAAGTCATTGTTCATGATGAGTAACAAATGTGGCGTGTTGTGCAGAGGAAGCTGGAGGAGAAAAGGGCAAGAGCAATGGAGAAAATGCAAAACGACATAGCAAAAGCTCATAGAAAAGCAGAGGAGAGAAGGGCATCAGCAGAGGCAAAAAGAGGAACCAAAGTGGCTAGGGTTTTGGAGATTGCTAGTCTCATGAGAGCAGTTGGAAGACCTCCTGCCAAAAAATCCTTCTTCTAATTATTTCATATTTTCAAACCCCTTTTGAAACACATTTTTAGGGATAAAGCAGAATAAAAGTAAAAGACAAACCAAATTGAGAGAATACTACTTGATGCCATACTCTATAAGAGCCCCTTTTCCTCTCTCTCTCTTTTTTTTTTAATCAGCTAAAGGGTGCAGCACTATGAAAAGAAACCAAAAGAAATGAAGATGAGGGATATGTGTCATATTATGTGAGAACCAATTGGAGTGTTTGTAAGTGATTGCAGTGTTTAAATGATGGTGGTGATGATGAATGGTGACACTCTTATTTGATTGTGGTGGTTAATAAACACTTTTTTGTTCTGTACATATTAATATATTGCTTCTTTGAATTTGATGCCTCCATCACTAACAAATGCCCTATGCCCACACCTTACCAACCATGCCTACATTTGTACTGATTTTGAACATATTTTCCAAATTATGAGATTATGGGTTACCAAACTGCTCTTGATGACAACTCCATCCAATCAGTTGTTGATTCTCAAATCATGTCACAGAAGACAAATACTTCATTGCTTAGCTTATGACTCGCAAAAATCTAGAATGCATGTCTCACTCTGACATTAAGGTAAGTTATCTTTCTAATTTTTTTAAATATAAATTTGTCAAGTAAAATTTAATAATCAAACAATTTCAGTCATATCTCGTTATGTGGTGGTTCATTCAAAAGCTACCATATAACATAGTTTATCTAATTGGTGGATATTATTAATGATATCTATAAATATTATATGTATTAAAAATAACTATTTTTTAATATCTTTATTACTTTTAATATAACACTAATTTCTTTTGATAATATTCCTTTTGATGCTAATCAGTTTAAGAAAAAATAAAATAAAATTCTAATATTGAATTAGTGCTTATTGAAAGACTAATTCTTTTAATTGATTTTTTGTAAATAATCTATTGAAATTCAAATAAAAATGTCCAAATTGATATCATATTTTAAATTTTGTTTAAAAGCCGTTGACATTTAAAATAAAATAAATTGATTTATATAATATATAAAATTAAAAATATTTTTTGATAAATACAAAAAAATTATTGTATAAACTTTAAAATGATATTTCATCACTATCATTTTTATTAAAATATTTCTTTCAAATTTTATAAAATCTAGTAAGTTTTGTTTTCTTTGAATTTAAAGCAAATCCAAACCAACCTTTCATATAAATTTTTAAATAAATTATAAAACTTTCCAAATAATTTACAACAAGATCTATATACATTTTTAAATTGCATAAAAGAATATCAATGATAAGATTTTTAAATATGTAAAAAATAACTTATTTTAATATTTTGAAAGTCCACTGGACACCCATGTTTTTTCAAAGCGAAAAATTATATAAAATAAAAGCTTAAGAATGCATTTCCTTCGATTTTAAATCTGTCAAATTTACAAGCTATTTCAATTTAAGTTAAATACATAATTAGTTTTTTTCAACTCTAAATTTATTAATGATATAACTTATTTTTGTAGATGTTTAGTTCGCATTTAATCTCTGAAGTAAATAAATAGTTTAAAATTGAAATGTATTTTTGTTTAATGTGATGTTTAGAATGTGTTGTCTTGAAGGCCCATAAAGGCCCAATAATCTGAGTATGTGGTTGAAAGGAAAAAGGGTTTCAGAAGCTACATATAAACTTGGAGAATTTAGTGGAGGCAGAGGTGAAATAGAAAAAACAGTTTGGAGTGGTGACAAAAAGTAAACAGAAGGTGTAAAAGGAAATTGAGTTGCGAGAATAGCCTTTTTTTTAATAAGGATTTCTAGAAGAGAAAAATAAAATAAAATGAATTTCTTCCCAGGTTCGAATTGACTTATGCACAAGTTAAACAATAAAAATTTAGAGAACCTATTAGAGAGAGTTTCTACAAAATAATTTGTGCATAAGCTAATTTTATCTTATAGAAAATCTTATTTTGTGTTTTCTTCTCATTTTTCACTCCTTTAGTAGTGACTCGTTTCTTATTTAGTAGTTTTTAATAAATTATAACTATAAAGAGAGAATGAATTTAGAAGAGTGTGTTCCCATTACTTTCATAGAGCACTTTAAAATTCCCATACTCAGCTTCTGTTGTAGTGGTTCTGGTTAAATCATTGGATTATGTTTGTTCGATTGTGTTGAACGAATTTACGAAGATGAAAGTAAAGCTCATTGCCATAAGTATCAAAATGTTCAAAATTACAAAACGTACAACAAAATAAGGAAGATCTCCACTGTCAACCATTGATTTGCAACTGTTTTTGACAGGTATTCCTGTTATTACTGCAGAATTCAGTCATGTTGTTGCAAATGTTTTGAGAAATCACTGATGTTGTTTCTGGTAAAGAGTCATGCCCATATATACTTTCCTCACACATAATCAATAGGTGTACAGAGACAGAGAACAAATGTTAAAAGTTGTTTATTTAGATGGATAAAAGCACGTAGAAATTCAGAATTTTGTTCCAAGAATTGAGGGATAATCAAATTGACGCGAACACAAGGTGTAGAGTTCAAAGAATAGAAGAGAAGTTTCACAAAAGTAACTCATTTGATTGATTGAAAATGATTAAGATATATACAAACAGGAATTAGAGCTCTATTTATGAAGCTTATCAGAGGTAATTAGCCACTAACTAACAAGCATTGATTAACAACAAAAGATGAATTGTTCCTGATAAGATGAATTCTATTACGATATCGAATGCAGTCTCTTATCGGTTTTAGTTACCTCACCAGACAACATAGAATGTGCTACAAATTGTAACCAAATCTATAAGTTTTTGAAATGAGTGGCACCTTGTCGCTTTCGAATGCAACTGATATATATCTTATATAGCAGAACAAGTCAATGTGAAGAAATAAGGTAGCTTTTAGTTTTGGCCTTTAATGTATGTGGTTGGTTTATATTTTCCTCATCTTAAGCATAATGATAACAGGTGAAGACTTGCAATATAAAATTTCTTCATATGCACGTTATCTATGGCATAAGAAATAAAAAGCAAGTAGCAAGACATTCTGTCATTGAAGTTCTACCGTTCTAGAATCAATCTTAGCAATTGCCAAGACCTTAACTTCTAGTAACATTGACCACTTCTTTTTGTTCTTTCCAACACAAGTTCAGTCAATACTATAATCATCACAAGATCCTTTGAAGCCGTGACCACACCTAAAAAACTGTATAAAGAAAATTATAGGGTGCGTCACTTTCAATTTGTGTGAGTCTAATACAAGTTGAAAATGAAATCATGCATTAGGATCATGAACTATTTATTATGTTGGAACATGGCAAGTTTAGGGTAATTTTAGAAGCTAACAAGAAGCAAGGAAAGTTCCCCTGTGACGTATTTCAAACGCAATACGTGTAAATCGGACTCTATTTAATAATCTCAATTCGCAAAAAGAAGCTTCCATGAAATACCCTTTTGTCAACAGATACAGTAAATGTTACGGTTGGATACGAAGAATAAGCCATAAGGCATAAGGCATACATAAGCCACCGTAGTAGACCCACAGAAGAATTTTATTCATGTTTATAAGACATGGTGTATGAATCTTTTACATCATGGACTATGTCATCTTTTCTCTGGTTGGATCTTGTTGGTTTAATTAAACAAAGTTGACTTTCATGGTTTTTGACAGCTTCTAGAACCCAATTAATCATCACAACCGTGTTTCCTCAATGTCAATAGTCATACAGATGCCATTGTTGACTTGACTCAATACAACTTTCACAAGAATCTTAGGGAGAGGATACGCATGTTCCGAATCTTACCTTATCCACTAATAAATAAAAACATGCTATTTACAAATTAAATTCAATTATTGGTTTCTTGGTTCATTTATTTGCTTTATGTCCACACTAATTGTTCAATAGGTTTGCTATTTTTTCTAAAATCTTTCTTTTCTTTTCCATTTAATCAAAATTGGATATGTACTAAAAAAAGTAAATTGGGTGTGCGAAGGTCTATTGTTTTTAAAAGTTAATGTCTATAACACTTTAATCCATTTTAGTATGAAATATTATTTTATGGATAGCTTTTTTCCTTTTTTTTTTCTATACTAATTGTTCTTAGTAACTAGTTTTGAACTCGTCGACTTTTAATTTGGTTACCTGAACTCATTGACTTTGAAACTAAAAAAAAAAGATTTTTTTGATAAAACCTTCAAGTCACACATGGGGGACTAAAAAAAAAAAATTTTCTTATCATGTTGAGAATGTATATGACTCAAATAGAATTCTATAAAAGATATATGTATTACTTGAGAAAAGTTATATATTATTTTTAAACTTCTAAAGTTAGTAGTAAAACATGCAAAATTTGTTATAAATAACATTGAAAGTTGCAGACAAAATAAAAGAGTGAAGTGTAACAAATAAAATAAATAATATATATATATATATATATATATATTGACTTGAATATTTAAAATTTGATATTAAAATAGAAATTTTAAATTTAAAGCTAGGACTATAAAACATATTTGTAATTTCGTGTTTTTCACAAAGAAGCGAAATTTCTCAAATAGCATATTTTAAATTATATAATTTAAGTAAAATAAAACTAAATCAATTAAATTAAAAAATGAAACACCTGAAATTAATTCAAAGTTTTTTTCTTAAAAAAAATATGATAATTAAAAACTTATAATTATAATTAAAAATACTATAATAATTAAGTGCAATAAAATAATAAATAATTTTGACAAATTAAACAACAAAACATTTCATGACCCCTTCTTTTCATGAACCTAAGAACTTTTATTAATGTTTTTTTGATACGGTGCCTGGTTTAAATGAAGGCACATGTAAGGGAAGGTGACCTACATTTGTCTTTGCAGTTAACACTCCACCAACCCTAACAGCACCCTTCTCTTCATTCCTCCTATCTTTCCACACATCATTCATCAAACTTTTAAGGGATTCAACTTTCTGTGTCTACATTATCCTTTCAAGTACACATCTTAATACTTTTACTTTCACTGTATATTTTTACTATTTACTACTATATTTATCTATGTCATGTACAGTTGTTTTATTAAATCAATTTTATATTTTAAAATTGATCAAGTAGTTAATATTTGCATATAAGTAATTAGTATATTTTACTAGTGAGACTGTTATAAAAATTATCATTTATTTTATTAAAAAATTAAGATTATTTCATTAAAACAAATCATCTAATTAAGTGCGTACAATATACTTTGTATGTATAATTTTTTTCATTTATCATTTTAAATATGTTTTCAAGTTATTATAATAGAAGAACTTTATGACCCTATAATACAATAATTATTGTTTTTTAGTTTTTATTTCATAATTTTCAACTCAAATATATAAACTGTGTAAAAATTATCATAATATCTATTGCTGTTTAAATTGAAAAATTGAAATGAACATTATATTTTAAATATTAAAATAATATATTTATTTCTTCATGATAACTATGTTTGTCTTTAATTTTAAAATCTATGAAATCAGATTCTATGACGAAACGATTTTTTTCCTCCAATGTGATTCTGTGAGCTTTTCGTGAAACCTAATTTACTACGTGACTTTAGTTTTTAATCAATATAATTAGTAATTAATTTTTAAAATATTCAAGTTAAATTAGTAAAAATATTTTTAATTTTAAATATAATAATGTAAGATATAAATTATTATATATAATAATAATATTACTATTTTTTTTCTTTATAAATATGTTAGTTTAACTATTTTAATCTAAAATAAATAAGCCAAATAAAAAAATATGATTTAATTAAAACTATAATTTTTTTTATTATCGGTTAAAACTTTGGGGACAATTATACACAAAAACATAATGAAAAGTCAATACATACATTAAACAGAGGAATACAAAGTTTTAAAAGAATAGACAAGATTAGTTAATAAATATACATTAAAATTAATTATGATATAAAATAAATATATTATATAAAATTATTAAAAATTAAAAATTATTCATTTATATTTAATATTAATATAAAACAAAAATATATAAAATTAAATATATTTTAAGTATATTCAACGATATTTTATATTATGAAAATAATCAATCATTGTATAATTTATATAATATATAATTTGTTCAATAATATTTTTAATAATATTTTTTAAATTTATTTATATATATTATTTTTTTAAAAATGAATTTATAAATTATTTTTCAAAATATCTATAAAATTTTATTATTATTTTATATATTTTAATATTAAAATTAAGTGTTATAAAATATTAAAATAATTAATTAATTGATAATAAATAATATATATGCTCATATATTATAGTATAAAAGTAATAAAAAATTTATTTTTTTGGTCCAGGTACTATCATCAGTTTATATTATTTTGGAGTTGAGATTAGTATAGTTTATATATATTTACTATTTCAATTTATTAATGTGATTATAACAATAATATTATAACGGACATGAAACTAGAACACTATCTCTTTTATATAGAACTTTGATGTTCACGAGTTAAATTAAAAGTAGAGTCTCGCTTCACTCATATCTCTCTTAATCTTTGACTAAAGTACTTATATTGTTCATAAATTTCATATTGCTTAGTTGTCAATTATAAATATAATTTAAATAAACTCTTTTTACTCGACTCATTGATATGTTTTTTAAAGACAAAATGTGATAAACTAAAATTTTAAAATGGATAATATTATATAAAAATACAAAAAAAAATGAGTGTTTGGAGTTGAAGTAAAAAATAAATAAAAAATGAAAGAGAAAAGAATAAAAATATATATAAATAAAAGATTGTGTAAAAAATAAAAATAATACTTATTATAATTATTATTATTATTTTTGTATTGTAAAAATATAATAAGTACGTTTTTATTATTAAATTTTTTAAATTATATATATATATATATATATATATATATATAAATATATAAATTTTGGAGAAGCGTGACCACCCACTCCCCTCTCATTCAGCCTCTAATTGACCATGTGATTAATATTTTCAATTTGTTTTCTTCAATAAATTTGTTAATTTTATTTATTAGTGTTTTTATTATTTTAATATTTTTTAATTTAAAATTAGTCTTAGATAACCTATTATCTTATTTCTACGATAAATAATTGATAAAAATAATTAATATAATATTAAACTTTACATATGATAAATATTAAAAAAAAAAATTTACCCAAACATAATATATTTTGAAGGAGAAAAATGCTATTTAACCACTTAATATTTACCTAACTTAGCTTTTTTATTATTACATAAAAAATTATAATAAAATTACTCAAATAAATTAACAAAATTATTATAATATAAATGATACAAAAAATATAAATAAAAAATAAAATAATATCTTCATTCTTATTTTTTAAAATAGATAATTTTCTAAAATAAAGGAGGTATGTTTATAGATACCCTCCAGCAAAAGTTTGAGAAATGTTAACCATTCTTTTTGGATCAAAATCAATTAGTTCTTAATAACTCAACTCTAATACCAATTGTTATTAAAATGTTAATGACAAAAATTTTTCTATAAAGGGTGAATTGGGTATTAATTTTTTTAAAATCTAATCAATTATGAAAGAATTTTTCTTGATAATCAACTATAGAAGACAATAGTTTTTAGAAAATAAAAATATCAAGATAGGGAGAAGAGAAAAAGAACTCGCAAATTTATACTGGTTGGATTATTTTTAAATTTACATTCAGTTTTAATTAAACAACCTTAACTTGGAGTTTTTTTTTTCTTTAAACCAGATTACAACCTATATATAAAGATCTTGATTTACAACAACCTTTTATCAAGATCACAATACTTGAAAATGTTTATCCTCACAATTTTCATTCTAAACTAACGTAGCTAGTCTTACATATATCAAAATTCAATATAAGATTCATAAAAGAAAGATATGCAACGAATTTACCTTATATTCATAAAACAATGCACCCTATAGCCAAATAACCTTTATTTGAATTTGATCTTCAAAGCATCTTCTAAAATTACACTTTTTCCTTGATGCCCACATATTTTTTCTAATTGCTTTAATTTGTTTTTTTTTTTAAAAGATATATTTACTAAAAGAAAGTTTTTATCCTTTTTATAGAAAGAAAACTGTTATAACTGTCTCAGATAATCAATTAATAAACTTATCTAATAGAGATTATTTAAGTACAATGATAGTATAAAAATAACCATATAATTGACTATTAGCACGTTGTGTTAAAATTGAGATTTAGACAACTAATTAATTAAGTTACCACATAATCAATTATTAACGTGTATTATGAAAACTTAACTTTAAGTCATATAATCGATTAAATATTTATCTAATCGATTAATAAAGTTTCAGTTTTAATATATTTGATTATTTTTATCTTCAAAGTTTATATTATTTGACTTTATACAAACTATCCACACTAACTACTTATATATCATAAATATCATCAAAAGCTAAAAAAATGTCCTTCTTCACCAACATATATATATATATATATATATATATATATATATATATATATATATATATATTATATTAAAAAAATGAATTTATAATTTTTTTCAAAATTTCTATAAAATTTTATTTATTATTTTATGTTTTAATATTAAAATTGAACATTATAAAATCTTTAAATAATTATTTAATTGATAAAAAAAATATATATGCTCATATATTATAGTGAATAAAAGTAATAAAAAAATTATTTATATTTTTCTAGTATGTTAAAGAGTTCATATTATTTTAGGAGTTGAAGTCAATGTAATTTATATACATATACTATTTCAACCTGTTAATGTATCTTTAGAACAAAATTATAACGACTAGAGTTTCAAACTAGAGTTTCAAACACAAAGAATACCTCATATGTGGTAATTTATCATAACAATAATATTATAACGGATAAGAAATCGAACATTATATTTTTCTAGACAAAACTTTAGTGTTCATAATTGTATTGAAAGTAAAGTTTTGTTCCACTTATACTTCTTAATAGTTGATTGAACTGCTTATATTATTCATGAATTTCGTATTGCTAAGTTATATAAACCATCTTCACTCAACCCATTAATATGTCTTCTAAAGACAAAATGTGATAAACTTGAATTAAAAAATGGATAACATCATATAAAAATAAAAAAAGAGCGAATGTTTGGAGTTGAAGTAAAATAAAAAATAGAGAAAAAAAGAATAAAAAATATAAAATAGAAGATTGTGTAAAAAAATATACTTATTATAATTATTTTAATATTATAAAAATGTAATGATTATTTTTTTATTATTAAATTATATATATATATATATATATATATATATATATATATATATATATATCAAATTTTTGGAGAAGCGAGACCACCCACTCACTACTCATTCAGCCACTAATTGATCATGTGATTAATATTATTCATTTTTTCTTCAATAAATTTGTTAATTTTATTTATTAGTGTTTTTATTATTTTAATATTTTTCATTTAAAATTAGTCTTAGATAACCTATTATCTTATTTATACGATAAATAATTGATAAAAATAATTAATATAATATTAAACTTTACATATATGATAAATATGAATAAAAAATTCTTACGCAAACATAATATATTTTTGAAGGAGAAAATACTATTTAACGACTCAATATTGACCTAACTTAACTTTTTTATTATTACATAAAAAATTATAATAAAATTACTCAAATAAATAATAAAAAATTATTATAATATAAATGGATACAAAAAATATACATAAAAAATATCTATAAATAAATTTTAAACTCATGTGCCACATTACCTCTAACTATAAGTGCACATACGTAAAAAAAAAAAAAAAGTGTAGACAAAAAATGCATGCTTAGAATGCAGCACATAAAACTCAGTATTCTAACTACACTATTTTTCTCTCCATCTTACAATTTTTTGTGTTATGTTATAACATTTCACTACAACATAACAAAATCAGTGTCTTAAACGTTAATTTAAGAATGGTTCTCAATTAAAACATCTATTGAAAGAAATTAAGATATTTAAACAACTAATTGAACTGGTTTATGTGAATTAGAAGACTTAAGTAAAACAAACCCCCATTAAACAAGAAAATAATAAGTTTGGCTTTAAAAAGTTACTAAAAAGAGGAAAGAAAATATAGCGAAGAAAGCATAAAATTAATTTTCATAATTCTAAATAAAATATCGTAAAATAAAAAGAAAAAGAAAAAGAAAAAGAAAAAGAAAAAGAAGAAATTGGCATATAGTGGTGAATGTAACGGCGGCATTGAAAAGGATCATGGTTTTCCTCCGCCAGAATTGAATGACCGCACAGGAAACACCACCAGAACACGTGGCGGGATTTAATAGGTTACCTGTATTTGATATTCGCTAGAAATGAAATGAATTTCAACTTTTTAGGTGAGAGTGAGTGGGCATTGGCTGAACCTTTACAAATGGCACTCCAGATATTTCATAAAATTCAAGAGGACAGTGAAAGAAACTCACTCACTTATTCAACAACTAAAAAAATAAAAATAGATAAAAAATAAAATAAAATAATTTCAACTGGAGTCGCCTTCCCCATGTAAGGGGAGAGAAACAAATAAATAAAAAATGATAATAAAAAAAACGAGAAAAAATGAAAAGGAAGACGAAGTCTCTGCGAAACAAGTTTGACCCTCTCAAGTTAGGTTCCATCCCCTTTCCTCCATGATGCTTCCAAACACGCGCTAAATTCATCTTCATCATCTCTTCATTCATCCATTTCCCAAAACCCTTCTCATAAATCACCTTCTCCCTCTCTCTCTCACCCTAATCCTGTTTCACTCCACCACGCTTTTCAAATTCCTCTCTTCATTCTTTGGTTTTTATTTCGGAAAAAAAACGGTTCGCTTCTCAGATCTGCGAAACCAGGTAGCCTGCAAAGATGGGTAACTGCTGCGCCAAGCCGCCCACAGAGGAAGGGGCCCCCAAGAAGGGCAAAAAGGGGAAAAAGGAGAACCCCTTCGCGGTTGATTACGGCTTTAACAACAGCTCCAGCGCCAACGGCTCCAAGCTCACCGTTTTGAAGTCTCCGACGGGCCGCGAGATCGAGGCCCGCTACGAACTGGGCCGCGAGCTGGGCCGGGGGGAGTTCGGCGTTACGTATCTCTGCACGGACAAGGAGACCGGGGAGGAGCTCGCGTGCAAGTCCATTTCCAAGAAGAAGCTGAGGACCGCCATCGACATCGAGGATGTGAGGAGAGAGGTTGAGATCATGCGCCACATGCCGCAGCATCCTAATATCGTGACCTTAAAGGACACCTATGAGGACGACAATGCCGTTCATCTCGTTATGGAGCTCTGCGAAGGTGGAGAACTCTTCGATCGCATCGTCGCGCGTGGCCACTACACCGAACGCGCTGCCGCTGCTGTTACAAAAACCATCGTCGAAGTAGTTCAGGTTCGATCTGGTGCCTCGACCTGTTTTTTTTTTCTCGGTTTTGACTTTTTGTTGTTAGGGTTGGGTTTGTGTTTTGTCATGTCAAACGGAAAATTGACGCGCGGCAATTGAAATCTGACCATGATAAAACGGCGTTGGTTTAACAGGTCTCGAATTGAGTTGGGCACTGGTACAGGGGAGAGTACGGATTATGTTTTTTTTTTTTTTTAAATAAACAATGGATATATTGAAAATGATAGGGTTAAGTTGGAGCGTTGTCTTGGTTAACTTGGGGTTTTGAATTTTTGAGTTCTGGATTTGCTACTTAGAAGAATAAGCTGCAATTGTTTTGGAAGATATATGCGGTATTGGAAAAGAAATGGAGCAATAGTTATCAATAAGGGACTGTCATTTGAAGTTAATTTGCTTTGTTGTGCGTGGTTTATTTTGCAGTTTGCTATGTGGAACTTTATTTCTTTTGCTGATATGGTGGTTTTGTTTAATTTAATGTTTCAGATGTGCCACAAACATGGTGTGATGCATCGGGATCTTAAGCCGGAAAACTTTTTATTTGCAAATAAGAAGGAAACCGCAGCACTGAAGGCCATAGATTTTGGGTTGTCAGTGTTTTTTAAGCCAGGTAATGCTTTTAGTTGGTGGATGAATTTTGTTAATTTAATTTTTTTGTATTGCTTCAATGCTGCTTATATTGATTTATTGTGGACTGAAACTCTGCTATTTTTTGTCAGGGGAAAGATTTAACGAGATAGTTGGAAGTCCATATTACATGGCTCCTGAGGTATTGAAGCGGAATTATGGGCCCGAAGTGGATATCTGGAGTGCTGGAGTAATTCTATACATCTTACTTTGTGGTGTTCCACCATTTTGGGCAGGTTAGCTTTGTCTTACGAATGATGTTTTTCAGTTTTTTAGAGACTGAGATCTTACATTTTTAAGTTACTAAGTTGTCATGCAATCAATGTACATCATGTACTATGACATGTTCATACTTTATAATAAAGAGAAATTTGTGGAAGAAATAAAAAATGGATGAGATGCATGGATGGGTAATGGCACAAATTGAAGGGTTATTATTCCCAGGAATTCATCAGCAACTTCCTCTGTATCTAATGTGTCATTCATACGTTTCATACTTTTCTTACTCTGTATTTGCTTTTCATGTTTGACGTTAGAAGAGGGAAGATATAAGAAACTTAATTGTTCATTCTTTTCCCCTTCACTTTGGTGCTATTTCTTTTTCATTATTATTTGTTGCCTTTCGTATCTGATTTGTTTGATTTTCTAAATTTTGTCTCTCTTTCTCTTTTGTAAAACGAAGAAACTGAGCAAGGAGTTGCACAAGCAATCATACGATCTATTGTTGATTTCAAAAGGGACCCGTGGCCTAAAGTTTCTGATAACGCAAAAGACCTTGTGAAGAAGATGCTAGATCCTGATCCAAGACGGCGGCTTACTGCACAGGAAGTGTTAGGTAACATATATAGTTCATATAAAATCTGTAGAGATGAAGAAAAATGTAGATTGTTCATAAATTTCTCTGCTCAGCATATTAGATTTTTTTTCCCTTTAAATTTTACAAAATTGAACTATGAGGATTATCACATTACTTGTTCACTAAATGCAGATCATCCGTGGTTACAAAATGCAAAGAAAGCTCCTAATGTTTCCTTAGGAGAAACTGTTAGAGCAAGGCTCAAGCAATTTTCTGTAATGAACAAGCTTAAGAAAAGAGCATTAAGGGTAATGTTCTCAACAATATTTCAATACCCCTTTGGCACTCATCCCTAAATCGTTAATTCATATGACCTTTCTAATTCATGATTACTTATTTTTCTCTTTATGGTTGATATTTCTTGTTAACAGGTGATCGCAGAGCATTTGACAGTAGAAGAAGCTGCCGGGTTAAAACAGGGATTCCAGCTTATGGATACAAACAACAGAGGCAAAATTAACATTGATGAACTACGAGTAGGGTTGCTTAAACTAGGCCATCAAGTTCCCGAATCAGATGTCCAAATTCTTATGGAAGCTGTGAGTATTAATTACTATATCACCTTATATCTGGAGCCTTTTCTCCACAGCTGATATTTAAAGAAATACATGCCTTTTATTAAAGATTGAGGTCTTTTAGCATATTTTCTTCTGCATATGCCAAACTAAATTGCAAAATCAACAAGTTACTGATTCTGTAACTTGGTATGCTTAATAATTCAGCCACAAGCATGCATTCTTATTTCTTACCCAAGTGCCATTTTCTTTATTCCTTGAAAGAAACATCATATTTAAAAGTGCTACACGATTGTTTAATTTCTGTTAAATCATATTATAACATACATGGGAACTGTTTTTACAGGGTGATGTAGACAGGGATGGGCACCTAGATTATGGGGAGTTTGTAGCTATCTCCGTTCATTTGAGAAAGATGGGGAATGATGAGCATCTTCGCAAAGCCTTTCAATTTTTTGATGAAAACCAAAGCGGGTATATTGAGATTGAGGAACTGCGTAACGCCTTGTGTGACGAGGTTGAAACAAACAGTGAAGAAGTTATAAATGCAATTATGCATGACGTGGACACAGACAAGGTCAGTCCATTTTCACTTTGTAGACAAATTTCTTTTTGGTTTATTTTTGTCTGATTATGATTAGAAAGTCGATCTTCGTGATCTGCACCAACACGGTACTTCATAGTGATCACAGTGTATTCTTAATACAAAAAATGTTAAAATTAAACCCTCCCGTTGATCTTTCCGTGATGAAATTGCAGGATGGAAGGATAAGTTACGATGAATTTGCTACAATGATGAAGGCTGGGACAGATTGGAGAAAAGCATCAAGGCAGTACTCGCGCGAGAGGTTTGCGAGTCTGAGTCTGACGTTGATGAGGGACGGGTCATTGCATTTAAACAATGACACAAACGAGGGTAGATGACCACTTTAGAAATGTCAATTTTTACTTTGAAAAGGAAAATATGATAAAGAAGTTTTTTATTTTTTAAATTTAACTTCTCTTGATTGTAATTCTTTTCTCCAATACCCCATTTTTTGGGTGAAAAAATTAGGATATTTGGCTCCGATAGTGGTGATTTCAATTGTCTTTTTGTTTTTTGTTTTTGGTTTGTTGAGGTTGCGGTAGGAGACAGTAGAGGGTGGGTGACAGTGAGTGGTGAGAACATTGGACAAGTTTTCATTTGTGGCTGTAAATATTTTAAATTATCACGCTTTATGTGTAATCTCCCATTTTTTACGCAAACCCTGGTCCATGAATGTACACGGTAACCACGAAATCATCACAAAAATAAATTTTATCAATTTACTAGGGTTACTTTGGCAAGACAAAATAGCTAATTGGAAATATTATCGAGTGACATTGACACCGAGGAATAAACGTCATTCTTAAATGACTGAGTAATCGTTTGTTCACTTGTTATGATATTTTGCCGTAGAAACTAGTTTTTTCTTTGAAGTGGGTGATGATTATGAAAAACTATTCAATCAGTGAGAAAATTGATAATTGTAGAAGAAACAGAGTTTATTTATCCTCTCACGTCTTTTATCCGTTCTTTAAACCTAATAAAAGATATGACGTCCATTTTCTTAATAGGAATAAACATTTTCAATGTGCATGGGCCCTTCTGTGTTAATCTAAGTGATTAGAATGAGCCTTATTTCGATGAACATCGTGAAGTTTATGGAACACTTTAAACAAAATCAAATGGACTTGGTTATAACAAAATAACAGGAGCTAATTACCAAAAAAGGGAAACTAAGGTTTCCAATTTAAGGTTTTCAGAAAAGTTAATGTTGTTAATTCAAGGCTAACTATAAAATTTACAATTTTATTTATTTCTTATTATCAACCTTAATTTTATCATGTCTTTTAGCTTCTCAAATGATATTCCTTAAATTTAGTAGACTTCATATTATCCAAATGTTAATACAATGTGTATAAATCTATAAGAAAGTAAATTTCGCATCGCATACCAATTTAATATTTTATTCCACAATTTTTATAATTTATTTATCAATCTCAAATTTTATTTTTTCAATTTATTCGTAAAAATTAACCTACAAAATTTCTTTAACAATGAAGAAATACGTTATGTGATTTCAGCATTATCAGTACGGATGTTTTAAATATATATATATATATATATATATATATATATATATATTTAACGTTAAAAATACCTTTAACTTAATAGTTATTTTAAATATTTATTTATCTTATTTCTTGGAAAAATATCAGCGCATGCAAATGGCATGAGATCCTGAAATCCTGATTAATTACTACTTTGTTTATTTTTGAGTATTGGTTTTCAGAAAAAAACAAAAACAAAATTATTTGTCAATTTAAAAACTAAAAAAAAATACCAATATTTTTTATAATTATACCCTTAACTTTAATTATTATTTTTTGTTTCATATAACATGATATTGAAGAGGGACAATGAGAATAAAAATTAACATAGAATTTAATCAATAAAATAAGCAAAAAGTATAAAGAAAATCACACCCAAATTTTAGTTTATAGGTTTTAACATTAAACACACTTACGGAAAGAAAAAAAAAAAAGGACGAAGATTCACGAACATTATAGGTGGTAATTCTTTTGTTTTTGGTAAAATTTCATTGTTTTCTATTGACATTTCAAAACTTCAGTTTAAAATAGTCAAAATTCACAAACTTTATTGGGCTTTCGTATGGTCTTTGGGCCGAAGAAAGGTAGGCACATTCTTTCGGTACCTTCATATTTTCTTCCAGTATTCCATGATAATGTTAAATGACAAAAATGTCATTATAAAAAACTGAGTGCACAATGCTTTCAAAAGTTTTCGGAAAGGTAAATAAAAACCTATTTATATTAAAAACAATATTATTATATTTTATAAATATGAGGTAATTGAATAAAGTGCCCACACAGAATAAAGCAAGAGGAAGACTATGGGCCACATTTGGGCTTTTCTTGTCTAAAGTTGAGATGCGACAAGTATCTATATATAAATTTCGGACACGCATATGCACTTTTTGTAGAATTTGAACTATGGTGAATTTAATTTGTTTTTTTAGATTTTAAAAATTATTTTAGTAATTTTTTTTTTTAAATTAAATATATTTATTTAATAATTATATTTTAATAAAAATATATCAGAATTAACGAGAAAAGATTAATTTAATAATTTTTTAATGATGAAACCAAATGATGTGATGTCACTATTATTATTATTACATATTAAGTAAAAGAAAAAGTTAAAACTGAAAAATATAACCAATTTTACCATATTAATTAAGAAACACTTTCAATTATTTTTTAATTATTTTTAATAGTCTAAATATTTATTTAAATTAATTAATAATGTTTGGTAAAAAGTTTCAATTAGCTAATAAATTATTTTAAAATTGTAATTTCAATAATGCTTTTTTACGTTTTAGTTTTTTCTTTATATTTAATCTTTTTATTCTTTATTAAATTTTATTATTATATTTTTCATGGTACAAAATTTTATTTTAGGGTTAAATATGTTTTTTATTTTATTTGATGTTATTAGTTCCTAAGTTTAGATACTTTATCTCTATTTTTAAATAAAATATTTAATATGATTTTTATTATCTAATAGTTAACTTATCTTTACTATTATACTCTTCATCTATTTTGTGATTATAAAAAATATGTTTTTTTATTCTCAACACGGTTTATTTGTGTCATTTATTATTTTCTTATTTAAAATAAATTGTGTCATTTTTTTAGTATATCATTAATATTTGGACGAAATTTATCCTACACTCTGAATTCATAGATTATGCATTTCTTTCTTTCTCATTATCACAAAATTGAATATCATCAATTTAAATGAAATTTTTCACATCATTACAATCTTGTAACAACATCTATTATTGTGTAATTCTTAACATCACCGTTAAAATTATCTATAAGAACTTCTTCACCTTCAACACACACATTACATTATCACTCTAAACAATATCCTTAAAATCATTTATACTAGTTTTATCCTCAACACCATCTATTACAACCTCATTCTCCATACCATCCATTACATTCTAACCCTCACTATCATTTTTACAACTCTCATTTCTAGCTTAAACATTATTGTTTCTAGTTTCATCACTCTCTTTAGTCCTATTAGTAATAACACCCTTCATTCCATCTTTAGGTATTTGCTTAAGGAACTCAATTACCTCAATTTGATTGACAAAGTGTTGCACATAAAATTTTACTTCATCCCTTTTACATAAGATATAATTAGTTAATTATATAACATCTTTATTTAGACACAGTTTTTGTTGATGTTTGTCCATCCTTTCTTCCCTTATAATGTAGTTTTGAAAAAATTATACATCACAACAAAAACAACTTATCTTTTAATGACGACGAATTGGATGAAAAAAATATCATTTTAAGTGTTCGTTACAAACAACTATATGTCAATAATATAATGTCACAACTATCTATTAAACAATAACTCATAATTAACAATAACTTCGCGAACAACATATATTAATTGTATATCAATCTACAGTAAAACTTTATTTCTCACGTAATATTCAATATTCATTTAAAAATATCATTCAAATGTGTCCAAATTTTATAATAAAACAAAAAATAAAATAAAAAAATAATATAAAGATGAAAAACATAATTAACAATCGTTACATTATCTTATTTTAACTATTATATAATTTATATTAACTTTTAAATTATTTTAATATTATATTAGAATATTTTACCTATTACATTAATTATCATAATAAAAGTATAACATTTACTTAAATGTATGTTATTTTAAAATAGGTTAAAATATTTTTAAATATAATATAATATTACCAGTATAATTAATGTATAATATAATTAAAATAATTAATCTACAAATTAAAAGATGATGTGACTTCATAATTAATTAAAAAACTAAGACCATAATAACCTTAAAAAAATACATTAATTAAATAAATTAAAATACATATCATACTAACATATTTATATTTAGCATTTATTTATCGATTACTCCCATAAATATCCTTTATCAAATAGTTGTAATTGTTTTTGTTCTCACAATACGCAAAATTGGATTGTCTTTTTCCTGTAGGTTAGAATGTACTCTTATGGTGGTTTTGGAGGTGTTTTTCTTGTAGATTGTGAAATTATTAAATTAACTGAAGAAACTCCGACCCACGTTGAAATCAGTTGAAATAATTGTGAGATAATCTTTAATTAAAGAATAATCTTTTAATTATTAGGTTAAGCATATGTTGTCTTGATATAAGGTGAAAATATACCGTATAGTTTGCCATTATTAATTTTCTAGAATCAATTAACCTTTTAATATCTGCAAGTAATTTTTAACTTTGGGTTACTATTGGCAAAACATGGAGTTATAGCAAAATTACAATGTAATATGCATTCCATGGTCAAAAGTTGAAGGTCCAAGTTGGTCATGCCACTTGTTATTTTCTCCTTCACCTCTTTCTTCTTCTTGTCTCATGCAATGTACTCACTCTACCTCATTTTATATACCATCCATTGCAACTTCACTCCAATAATTATTGATTGTCGTTTGTTCATGGTTAACCAAAACACACTCAGCACACAACACAACACCCTTTCAAAGCATATCTTCCACCATTTTTTAATCTTTTGATTAGCTTCAAGATCCAATTGAAGAAGAAAAAGTTACACACACGCATACTAAAAATCACACCATGTGGTATTAATTAAATTAAGGGCTTTATCACCACTAAACACAAGTCAAAATAGGGAAGGGACAGAGCTTCATATGTCAACCCAAGAATTTAACGCAAGTTTTGTGCCACGTACCAAATAACAATCATATGTGGGATTCAGGATATTAAATAATCGACAATATAGATTGTGATTTTGAACAACCATCAATAATTGCTAGTTTGAAACTAATGGTT